GAGGTGACAGAGGGAACCGGGAGGGTCTGCACTAAAGAGGGGACGGGGGCGGGGGCGGGGACATACTCTGGCGCATGTGCGTACCGCCTAACGGCGGTGGGGCGGGGCTTCATCGAAAGGGGCGGGGCGTTCTCGACAGATTTGGGTGCAGGGTTGTAGGAGTCGGCGCGACAGCCGGGAAGAAAGAAGGTCGTGCTGTGCGCGCTGACGTAAGGGGCGTAGATGAAGGCGGAGAGAGCGAAAACAACAGCCTGCGCACGCGTAGTTCTCTTCTCCTGGGCGCGTTCTCTGCGGCTGAGGTAGGCCCTCCGTGCCCTGTGCGTGTTGCTTGCAGCCCAGGACTGGCTTCGTCCTGCTCTGCTGTTCAGTCTGGCTCGTCTCCCTAGCCTTGGTGGGAGGCAGTGTCCGCCAGAAGTATGCAACTATGAGTAGGGACTGCTGCTGCATCCCGCTACTCGCGGGGGAGGCGAGTCCGGTTTCCGTGGCCAGTCTGCGCTGGACTTGAGTGGGCGTATCTGGCTGAGCGGTGGGGCACCTAGGACCCCTTTAGTGCAGATAGCGTTAGAGGCTGGGCCGGGGTTAGAGATCGGGCTGCCCCAGCCCACGTTCAGAGCAGGCCCTTGGCTCCCAGAGGACAGCTGGAATGAAGCTGCTGCTAGAATGATCCCGAGTCCCTTCATTTCTGCATCTCAACGACCGAGAGCTCTGGAGGCATAAGGACCCATCCTCACTAGTAACTATGAGCCTTTAGAACAACTCTCAGAAGAGCCTAGAAGCTGACATATTTTCTATCTAGATTTAGTACTGCTGGGCACAGTGGTGCACTCCCATAATCCCAGCCATTCAGGAGGTCGAGGCAGGAGGATCCCTAGTTTGAGACTACCCTGGACAGGACAGCCTCTGTCCTAAGGAGAGAAAGAAGGGTATTTGCTTGTTACCTTATCTTATTTTACTTAGCAAAAATCAACATGTCAGGGTGGGAGTCTTACTATAAAACCGAGGGCGATGAAGAGGAAGAGGAGGAGGAGAACCCTGATGCAGGTGGTAAGTGACTTTAATGTGTAGTGCTGTCCTGTGTGTAGCAGAAATACCTTTCCTGCCGCTGTTTGTCGAGTGGCCCACCTTTCTCTCCCCACATAATCTGAAATTCTCCCTTTGAGCTTTGCAGAGCCAACCCGGGCCCTTTTATTTATGACCTGCTGTAGTCCGAGGGACATTTCTAGTTTTACATTTTTTCTAGTTACTAGTAAGTTGACATCTGTTGAACTCCAATAAACGAATCTGTTCGGGGGTATCCTTTGTCACTTTATGTGGCTCAGGTAAGACCCTTCCTCAACTGAGAAAGTAGTTGTACTCATTCTGGGACTTTTGTAAGATTGCCTTACTCTGCAATAACTAACTGCATCCGTGGAGGAGTGAACGTCAGTGACACAGTTCAGGATAGCTTTTGGGTTTGGCAATTAGTAACACATCAGGCAAAGGAAGAGAAATAAAGGGTATGTGTAATCTGTATTCTGGTCAGTGTCATTCCTGAGTAGAATTTTTTAAAGTGTTTTTATTAAAAGTGAAAAGAGGAAACAAAAAATAAAACTTCCTGTAATCTATGTGTACTTAACTGTAATCTACCATCCTAACTACTGCCGTTATTTTGTATTTTTATTTCTTTGTATCGTTTATATTTTGCACGCGCTAGGTGTGATCTCTACCTGTGAGTTACAACTCCAGTCCTTTTTAGTTTAAGGCTTCTTCTTGCCAAACTGCTTCAGTTGAGCTTGAATTTGTGATCCTCCAGCCTCAGCCCTCTGAATAACTAGAGTTACAAAGAGTCCATGCCAAGCTGTCTTTTTAATTTTTGCAACAGGGTCTCATTATCATAATGTTTCCCAGGCTGGCCTCTTGGACTGCTGGGCTCAGAAAGACTTCAGCTTCAGCCTCCTAGTAACAAGAACTACACGAAAGACCACCATGCCCTGCTTCGTTTCGGCATTTTGAATTCTTCCGTCATCTAATTTTCAGTCTTTTTTAAGTCACACATACACATGTGTGTGCTTTTCTTTGTATCTTGTTTTTTATTGTAATAATAGATTTTTGGGTTTTGTTTTTGGTACTGAGGATCAAACTCAGGCCCTTGCGCTTGCAAGGCAGGCGGCAGAACCACTGAGCCAGATCCCCGGCTCTATTGTAATAAAATAGTGCGTGTACATTTTATCCATTTTACTTTATACCACTCTTGTTTGAGAAATAATTTTAAATATGTATTGTTAAAACATATATTTTTTTAAAAAAACAGGATGATTTTTTATTTTTAAGTAGGGCTTAGGGCACTCAGCTGCTAATTAGGTGCTGCATGGCGGAGCTATTGCCCCAGTTCATGCCATGAATCCATAGGGAATAGGTTCCAACAACTCAGCCTCCTTCCCAGTGGTTCTCACAAAATGTGCTTCTCTGGGTGGGGCAGGCTGGCGCTTCAGCTGAACCCAGGTCCCTTTCTCTTTGGCTTCCTTCTTTTTTCTGATCATTTCCCTTGACACGTTTCGGGAAGCTGTCTCGACTCTTTGAGTGATTAATATGCTCAATATGCACATTAAACCTCTTGGCAAGTATCTTGCCCCTAATGTGCTTGTTTACAACAATGCCAACAGCATACTGGGTAATGCTGTAGACTCTTCCAGTTTTGCCGTGGTAACATTTGTGTGGCATTCCTTTTTGAACAGTACCCATGCCCTTGATCTCTACAATATCACCCTTTTTGTACAGTTGCGTGTATGTGGCCAAAGGAACAACCCCATGTTTTCTAAAAGGCTTAGAGAACATATACCAGGTCCCCCTCGTCTTTCCCTTTGTGTTTGTCATTTTGGCAAATTAATGGAAAAGGAGAAAACATGTATTCTTTTTTTTATTTTTCTGGTACTGGGGTTCAAACTCAGGACCTGGGGCTTTTAAGGCAGGCAGTCCCACTGAGCTAAATCCCCAGCTGTATTCTTAATTTTAAGCATGTATTCTTCCTTTTTTTCCTTGTTGTGTCATAGATACATCTTTACAAATAGTTACATGTATGTAGTCTTTGTAACTTATTTTAAATGTACTGTAATTCTATTTTCTGTTGGGTAATTTAGTTATTTTCAATTTGTTGCTTTAATAACATTGTTATAAATTTTGCATAAGGAGTTTTCCACATCTTAAGGCAGATGGCTGAGGTAGATTTCACCTGGTTAAGATAGTTTTTGTTGGCTTTTGACAGATACAGTACTACTATGTTGTTTTCCAAAAGGCAGTGAATTAAGTTTATTGTATTAAGTCCAGTGTAGCTGGGTGTGGGGCAGAGTAGGCAGTTTAGAGATTGTCTCAAAAAGAAAAAAAAAACAAAAAACAAAAAAATGAGAATGCTGAGTGTGGTGCCTACCTGTAACCCCAGGTAACTGGGAATTTGATGGTGGAGGATTCCAAGTTCGAGTGTGGGAAATTTAGTGAGACCTTATCTCAAAATTTTAAAAAAGCCCCTGGTTCAGTCTCCAGCACTAGGGGGGGAAAGAAAGGGAAATAATAAATGCATTCAGCAAAACTCAATATAGGAAAGTTAAATGTAGATGTCAGTGTCCTGGTTTATCAGCAGATAATTTACAAGGGAAGATAGAAGCATATCTATAGACTGAGACTCCAAAAAACGTCTCTTAAAAAGACAGAACTTTGACTTTTAATGTTTAATGTTGAGGAATAGCACTACAATGATAAAACTAAAAGAAAAGGAAGTGATTAGCAGCAGTCAGGATAGTAGTACTTAGGGGTGAGGTGGGTATTATAACTGGGCAGGAATATAGGAAGGACTCTGGCGTGCTGATGATATTAGTGTGTAATTAATCAAATTTATTTCTGTTTCCTGACATGGGTGGTGGTTTTAGGGGTAGCTGCCTTATAATTTACTGGTTTATACTTTTGCTTTAGGGGCTTTTCTGTTTTGTATGAGTGATACAAGGGTAAACATTCTCTTCTGTTTTTTTCTCCACATAGGAGAATATAAATACTCAGGAAGAGATAGTTTGATATTTTTGGTGGATGCCTCCAGGCCCATGTTTGAATCTCAGGGTGAAAATGAATTGACTCCTTTTGATATGAGCATCCAGGTAAGACTACCTTTTTATTTGATTAATAATATAAATAAACAACAACAAACAGGTATTAGCATCACTTTTAAAAGCATGGATTCTTTGGAAGGTTTGTGAGTGGTGTGTGGTGGTTAGCCTCTCAGGGTAGCTCTCTATGATTGCAGTTGAGAAAGAAGGGTTAGCTGTGTGGTTGTGCATACCTGTAATGTCAGCAACTCAGGAGCACAAGTCCAAAGCCAGCCTGGGCAACCTAGTGAGACCCTGCTTAAAAAAAAAAAAAAAATTGGGGCTGTAGCTCAATGGTACAGCATTCCTGGGTTTGATCCCCAGTACCATCACCACCACCACACATTGAAGTAATGTTAGAACCAGATGAATGAGGCATTTACAAATGAACACCAAGTATTTGATAGTTTTTTCTCATCTTGCACAGGGGTAACCTCTGTACTGTTTCAGATGTGTTGTGAAGCCGGATGTGGTGGCACGTGATTTGTTAGCCCAGAACTTGAGAGTCTGAAGCAGGAGAATGCCCGAAAGTTTGAGGCCAGCCTGGGTTACATACCCTGTCCCAAAAAACAAAGCAGAACATGTTTTACTGGATCGAACAGAGGTTTTGTTTTTAATTCTTAGAATTTAGAAAGAGCCCTCACCAAATCTTTGTAAAACCTGTAGATAGTCAAATAGTAGATTAAAATATTTGCACAAGTGACTATTTGCTGTGCAGATTATTTATTGTCAGTAACTAGCTGTAATATAAATCCTGCATTTAAAGATAAGACATTTCAAGCTCTACCTGGGCAATTTAGCAACTTAGTGACATTGTCTCAGAATAAAAAACAGAAAAGGGCTGGTGATGTAGCTCGGTGTAGAGGCCCTAGGGTCAATCTCAGCTACTAAAAGAAGAAGAAAAGACTTAAAGGAAGGGCAGGTAGGGGCTTAAGCAGGATGTGAGAAAGTCACCACAGTTGATTTATTCCTCAGCTTTGTAGACTCAGAACTTAATTTTGTCTGTGCCCCCAGATGCTGATATTAGTTTAGATGAGAAGATCTTTCCGTTGGCTGGAATGTTGGGGTCATTAGCTGTGTAATTAAGTAAGCAATTTTATTTCAAGGGATGCTATTAATATTACTGACCTGTCATTGGGTCACATCTACTTCTTGGTAACCCTAACGATTATTTTATATCTATAAACTGTTTCTTGGTATGAGAATACTTGAGGAAAGATCAGGCAGGTGACATGTCCAAACTGAGCCAGTTAAGTGACATCAGTGGGACTCGACTCCAGGTTTCCAATTTAGCATTGGGCTTTTTTTTTTTGCCCTGGTGGGACCGTCTCCTCCCTGAGGATATATAGGTTTGACTTTCTCTGGCTTCTTGTGGTAGGGACTGCTTATACATATATATGGCACTTTGCTCTTCCTTTTTTTTTTTAGTTTTGGAGATTCAGCCCAGGATCTTTGCATTGAGCTACTTCCTCAGCCATTTTTAAAAAGTTTTATTTTTGAGGTGGGGTTTCCCTACGTTAAGTTGCCCATTCTGAGCTTGAACTTGGGATCCTCCTGCCTCAGCCTTCTAGAGTGCTGGGGTTACAAGTGTGTGCCGCTATGCCCAGCTTTGCCTTTTGTTGTAACATCATAGTTATGTTCACCAGTCTCACTGACTGGAGAGTTTCCTGAAAGTCGAGGTCTTGTGTTACTCTAGTGCGACGTACAGATGGGGCCAACACCTATTGAGCACTTACTATAAGCCAGCCACTTGCAGAAGTGAAGTGTGGTGGTAAATAAATGCTCATTGGATTTTTTTCCCAGTGTATCCAGAGTGTGTATACAAACAAGATCATAAGCAGCGACCGAGATCTCCTGGGAGTGGTGTTCTATGGTACCAAGAAAGACAAAAATTCAGTGAATTTCAAAAATATTTACGTTTTACAAGAGCTGGATAACCCAGGTCAGTGGTGCCTGAGTGTTTCCCTCTATGGGGATGCACTGTCCTGATAGAGGGCCGAGGGGAGGGAGCAGCTTCCATCTTGTCTAGGAGTCTGCTTTCCCACCCTGGGCCTCACTGTGCGTGTCTAGTCTTTGTTTGCCTGTGGTGAAGGTGACCACCACTGGTGCTGAGATGTTTTTGTGCCCATTTGACTCCCCTGCCCTCTGACCAGGCGCTAAACGAGTGCTGGAGCTTGACCAGTTTAAGGGGCAGCAGGGACAAACACACTTCCAAGACCTGATTGGCCACGGGTGTGACTACTCGCTGAGTGAAGTGCTGTGGGTCTGTGCCAACCTCTTCAGCGATGTGCAGGTCAAGATGAGTCATAAGAGGATCATGCTCTTCACCAACGTCGACGATCCCCATAGCAGTGACAGTTCCAAGGCCAGCCGGGCCAGGACCAAGGCCAGCGACCTCCGTGACACTGGTAGGCAGTTGCCTGTTCTATGAATTGGTGCTTCACTTTATTGCTCTTGTTTTTCTTTTTTTGTCAGTGTTAGGGATCAAGCACAAGCCTAGGGAATGCTTAGCTATAGTCCCAGCCTTTATTATTATTTTTAAAACTTTAAGACAGTGTCTTGCTAAGTTGCCCAGGCTGGCCCCAAAGTTTCCATCCTCTTGGCCCTGACCCCTGCACCACAGCCGCTCAGCTTTTGTTACTTTATTGCCAATGTCAAGCAGTTGCTTTTCACTATGTAGAATGAAATAAAAGAATATAGTGAAAAAGGGACGTGAGCAACAACAGAAAAGAGTTGTCAGTACAGTTCAGGGTGAAGGCCTAAATTGAAGCTAGTAGAAGACGCCAGTATAACAACACCAAAAATGGTCTTGCCATTCTGTCTACTAGAGCAATCTTGTCTTAACATACTATGGTGAACGTGAGTATTTGAGTAAGTTGTCTGAAGTGATTTGTTTGTTTTTTGTTTGTTTGTTTGTTTGTTTGAGACAAGATCCTGCTATGAAATTCAGGCTGCCATTGAACTTTCAGCAGTCCTTCTGCCTCAGAGGCCTCCTAAGTGCTGGGATGACAGGCACCATGTCTGTAATCATGTAATCGTGCCTCTTTAAGTGCTGAAAATGTTAATGACCATTTAGTTTTAGGGAGAGCTTTCAGAATCAAATTTGAGAAACCAGACATAATGGTGCACACCTGTCCTCCCAGCATCTGGGAGGCTGAGGCAGGAGGATCACCATGAGTATGAAGGCAGCGTGGGCTACCTAGTGAATTCAAGGCCAACCTGGACTGCTTAGACCCTTTTTCAAAATACAGACCAATAACTGCCCCCCCCCAAAAAATCCAAAATCAAATTTGGGTGTAACTGAAGAAAGTATTTGAAGGAGGCACAGAGTATATAACTGTACTCCCAGCTACTGGAGGGGCGGAGGTAGGAGTATCTCTTGAGTCTAGGAATTTGGGACATCCTTGGGCAACATAATGAGTCTCAGCCTTTCTCTCTATTAGTCTGTTTTTTTTTTGTGGTCCTGGGGATTAAACACAGAAGTGCTGAACTATGTCCCTTGCCTTTTTTTTTTTTTTCAGTACTGGTGATCAAACTCAGGATGGTGCCACTGAGCTAAATTCTCAGCTTTTTTAGGTAGGGAGGGTCTTACTATATAGTGCAGGGTGGCTTTGAACTATATCACCCTGGTTGGCTTTGAACTTCACAGTGATCCTCCTGCCTCAGCCTCCTGCATGCACCAAAGAGGTGCACTACCACACCCGGCCCCCTTTTTATTTTTGAGACAAGGTTTTGCTGTGCGATCCAGGTTGGCTTCCAACTTGAGGTCCCTGGTCTTCTGAATTACCGAGGTTGCAAGTGTGTTAACACCATGCCTGGTTATACCCTATCTCTCTCTTTTTTTTTTTTGGTTTTTTGGGACAGGGTCTCACTATGTAGTTGAGACTGACCTGGAACTCACTGTGTAGTCGAGGCTGGTTTTGAACTCACAGCAATCCTGCCTCAGCCTCCCGAGTGCTGGGATTACAGGCATGCGTCACCACACCTGGCCTCTTTAAAATTTCTTTTGCTCTCTCGCTGGATGTTTTTGTCCTCACTTTTGTCTTTCCTTGTACCAGGTATCTTCCTTGACTTGATGCACCTGAAGAAACATGGGGGCTTTGATGTGTCCTTGTTCTACAGAGATATCATCAGCGTAGAAGAGGATGTAGACCTGGGTGTTCACTCTGAGGAATCAAGCAGGCTGGAAGACTTGTTGAGGAAGGTTCGAGCCAAGGAAACCCGGAAGCGCGTGCTCTCCAGGTGTGACTGAGGCCGGCTGCCCACAGTGCCCTCTGAGGAGTGACAGGCAGTGGTGGCTCTGACACCCCTGACTGTGCACCTGCTGTGGGTGCTCCTCCAACACACCTGCTTAATGTCCACATCACTGGTGCGTGCAGAACAGCACAGCCCTGTCTCCCAGCAGAATCAGGTTGTCCCTGGCTGTACTCATTAATACATTGTTTTCTTCTCTATACTGGGGATAACAACACCTGCCTTGTTAAGTTACCTTTAGGAGTAAATTTTATTTATTTATTTAGGTTTTGTTTTTTGAGACAGGGTCTCACTGTGTAGTTGAGACTGACCTGGAACTCACTATGTAGCCCAGGCTGGTCTCGAACTCACAGTGATCCTCCTGCCTCAGCCTCCCAAGTGCTGGGATTACAGGCGTGTGCCACCATGCTCGGCAAGGAGTAAATTTTAAAAAAATAGCAAAACAGAGCAGGTATGGAGAAAAAATTCATTAAGGGTTATTATCATTGTTAAAATTGTATTACTCTCATTTTTTCTCTGCTGGGGATTGAACCCAGGACCTCCTGAATGCTAGGCAAATGCTATGCCACTGAGCTATCTTCCCAGCCCTCAAATGGTTGAGACCAATGGGATTGTCAGATGACCTTTACTATGCGTGATCTTAGCCAAAAGGCTGACATGTGGTAGATATTGGGGGTCACGGTGTTTTTCCCTGAAGCGGATCAGGTGTGTAGTGTTTTACGGTGCTGGGGTCAAACCCCAGGCCTGTTCATGCTCAACAGGGGCTCTTCCAGTGAGTTCCACCTGGCCAAACAGTATGCCCTTTGTTGTGTTCAAAGTCATTAATAGTTTCAAACCAATCTGGTGGTTTAGATCCCTGAGATCATGGTATAGGAAATTCTATTGTATTAAAATGTGTTCCAGAGCTGGGGATTTTGCTCAGTGGTTCCACCACCTGCCTTGCAAGTGCAAGGTCCTGAGTTTGATCCCTGGTACCCCTCACCACCAAATGTATTCCAGCCTGTAGTCCCAGTACTTGGGAGGCCGAGGCAGGAGGATTGCTGAGAGTTCAAGGTCAACCTAAACTACTTAGTGAGACCTTCTCCAAAAAAAAAGCATTCATTGTAGGCTTTTAAGTTATATAAATTTTTTTTTTTTGCTTTTATCACTTACACTTTATATACGTTCACAGTACATACTGATTACATCTATTGTGGGGAGTTAGTTCATGTATGTAGTGCATCTCTGGTCTATGGACTTGCTTAGGATTGTTGCAGAGAATAAAGCAAAATGGAGCTTGGCCTCCATGAAGGAATTTTAGATAGCAAAATAGATGTAACCTTTCAGTCCAGCTTTTTCATTTTTTCTTCTCAGGTTAAAATTTAAGCTTGACAAAGATACAGCACTCACTGTGGGCATTTATAATCTGGTCCAGAAGGCCAGCAAGCCACCGCCAGTGAGGCTGTACCGGGAAACCAACGAAGCAGTGAAAACCAAGACTCGGACGTTCAACGTGAACACAGGCAGCTTGCTCTTGCCCAGCGACACCAAGCGGTGTCAGGTGGGTGGATCTGCTGCCATCTCGAGCCTCCTCCCGCCGGAAGAGTGGGCAGGGAGGCAGGACCTGTACAGCCTGGCTCCATGGTGGTGAACCTGTGGCACGTTTTTCTTTTAAGACAAAAGATGTTAATGTATGAGTTTTTTTTTTTTTCTAAACTAAAACCTCCGTATTCAGGTTTTAGTTGCAGTGTTGGCACTTTGCGATACATGACTGGGTTTTAAATTGCAGTTTGGGCGCTCACCTATGCAAGGTTTGCCATCATTGGCCTAGCCAGTTTAGTAAGTCCCACTGTCCAACTCTTTAGCCCCACTAGAGACACAAAAGTATTCACTCTCTGGAACCCTGGTGTTCAGGTCAGTGATGTCCTGAGAGCTGGAAAGTTAGACAGCATTGGTGTTTGCAAGAGATGGCTGTGGAAACTTTGGCCCGTGCTTGCTTAACTACGACAGAAGGAGCTAGGGCAGTGATAGGTATGAAGTGGACCTTTTTAAGGGAGAGAATTTCTTTTTACTAAACTAAAACTTTTTTTTTACTAAACTAATGGAATACTGAACTATTTGTTCCTTTGCCTCGATATGACTCACACCTGCCTTTCTGAACCTAAAAGATGGTCTTCAAATACAAAGCATTATCCTCATCCTCTCACTTTGTTCAATCTATAGAGGGATTTGACATTGAAAATTAAAATTAAATGAGTCATCTTTGGGAGAGAATCAGATTTTTACCTAAGTTCAGGACCTTGGGTGACTAAAATGAAATTGCATTTTGATTCAACTTACGAGATGTTTTTGGAGCACAGATTTCTTTCTTTTTTTCTTTTTTGGTACTGGGGATCAAACTCGGGACCTTGCACTTGCCAGGCAGGTGGCGGAACCACTGAGCTAAATCTGTGGCTTGCTTTGCCTTTTGAAGAAGAGATGACATTTCCTCTTCCACTTTGGAAATGGCTAGTTTTTCCTGTTGGTGTATTCATAGGCAGGAGTTCTGGGCAGAGTTCCTTTTGATCAGTATGCCTGAAAAAACCTTGGAGCTCTGTTGTTCACAACGCATTTGACTGTGCTACTTAGTTCTGATGTTTATCACATTTCGGGGTCAGAATGCAAGCAGAGTTTGGAAATAACTCTTGGGTCTGTGTGTTCACGTCTGCATGCCACACAGACCCAACCCAACACCAGACATGGGTCCTCTCATTCCACATGTGTGGCTTGAGCATCTTTCGTGTATCAGGAGTGGGCTGGGAGCACAGCTCATGGTATGTGAAAGAAGCAATAAATACCTGAAGAGAGTGACCTTTGGCACCAGAAAGATCTGGATTTAAAGCCCAGTGCAGTTGTATAACCTGGAATGAGTTACCTAACCACTGGATCACAGTTTGCTCATCTGTTAAGTAGTTTGTTTTTTTGTTTACTTGATGTGCTGGGGATCAAACTGAGGCCTCTTGTTTGTGCATGCTGGGCAAGGGCTCTGACACTGGTCTGCATTGTTTTTTTGTTTTTTGTTTTTTTGATACTGGGGATTGAACTGAGGTCCTTGTGTTTGCGAGGCAGGTGGTGGAACCACTGAGCTAAATCCCTGCCCGCCTCCACCCCCATGAGACAGTTTTAACATCTACTTCCTTGGATTGTTAGTGAAGATAAATTAGGTCAGTTGTGGTGGTGTGTACCTACAATCCCAGCTACTCAGGAGGCTGAGGCAGGAGGACTGCAAATTTGAGGGCAGCATGGGCAACTTAATGAGACTCTGTTTCAAAATAAAAATGAGCTAGGGATGTCACTGTGTTGTAGAGCACTTGCCTGGCATGCCCAAGGACCTGGATTCAGTCCCCAGTATCACAAAAAATGAGAGAGAGAGAGAGACAGACAGACAGACAGGCAGACAAATTAGGTGATCATTGTAAAGTACCAGAAAATCACTCAGTAATTCCCTATTGTCATAGGATGATTCCCTGGTGGGCCATCTTCTTGCTCAAAGAAAGCTGATTTTTATCTTGCTAGTGTGTGGCTGCCACTTTACATCTCCATGTACCCTCTGTGTGGCCTTCTTGTTCTCTGTCTGTAGATCTACGGGGATCGGAAGATTGTGCTAGAGAAAGAGGAAACGGAGCAGCTGAAGCGGTTTGATGAGCCAGGTTTGATTCTCATCGGCTTCAAGCCCTTGGCCCTGCTGAAGAAGCACCATTACCTGAGGCCCTCCCTGTTCGTGTACCCCGAGGAGTCCCTGGTGAATGGTGAGTGGCAGGGACCAAGGGAAATGGACCTGCGCCCTGAGTGGGCGCTTCTTGGATGCTGCATGGGGATGCTCATGTGGCATTTTGGAAGTGTTTCCATGCTCAGATTCTGGGAGTGAGGGACCAAAGATTTCTTCAGCACCCTCAATATTACTGATGGATGTCGTGAAAATCCTGGAGGGCCTGTGGAATAAAGACTGTGGGAGGGAATTTGTGGGCTCGTTCCGTGGGCAGAGAGGGAGGAAAGGAGAACTCTAGGATGTAGGTCACTGGGACTTTTGTTTTCTAGGGAGCTCAACCTTGTTCAGTGCCCTGCTCATCAAATGTCTGGAGAAGGAGGTCATAGCCCTGTGCAGATACACGGCCCGAAAGAGCACTCCCCCTTATTTTGTGGCTTTGGTGCCACAGGAAGAGGAGCTGGATGACCAGAAAATTCAGGTGGCTCCTCCAGGTATGTGGCAGAAGGATTTCCAAGGCTCCCAGAGCATGTCTGTGCTTTGGGATCCTAACGCAACCCTGCCGAGCTGTAGTCAGTGGGAATAAGACCTGGGAGCTGGGTAGAGGGGTCCTCAGTTGAGTGTGATGTAGTCAGCTGGGGCCACCACCTGTGGTTTCGCAGTGCACATGAGCCCAGCCGTGCATCTGATCAGGACTGTTTGCGGGTGACGGACGCAAGCCCCAGGGGCCTTATTCCAACACCGTGCTTGACTTGCTTACCTTGTAATACCTAATCCTTGGTTTATCCTGTGGATACCAAGGAATAGCGTATACTGGAAAGAATGTGGACTTTGAAGTCAGACTTGATTTTGTCTTGTACTTATGTCCAAAAGCTCAGTTTCCTCTGTTTTAGACCCATCTCTGTCACTGGTTAGTTTGCAGACTTGGGCATTTTACTTTACTGTTTATATTCTTTATCTACAGAGTTGAGAATTCTGGAATACCTTTCCTTCGGTGTTGTTTTACTTTGAAATAAGTTAATAATGTGTGAGTGCCAGACTAGGATGCAGCTCAGTGGTAGAGCATTTGCCCAGCATGTGCAAAGCCCTAGGTTCTGTCCCCAAAACCAAACTACTGAAAGAAAAGAAGTAAGGGGGCCAGGGATTTAGCTCAGTGGTGCTGCGCTTGTCTTGCAAGTGTAAGGTCCTGAGTTCGATCCCTGGTACTGCAAAAACAACAAAAAAAGTAAGGTCAGGGTGTAGCACAAGGTACTCAGTAGGAGGTCATCTTTGTCCTTCTCTGGCCTTCCTAACAAAAACTCGCTTTACCAAGTCAGCCTTTCGATACATCATGTGTTTATCCCCAGGTAGCAGAATGCTCAGCTGTGTTCAGTGATTAAGCTGCTGCCTCTCAGCTCCAGATTCCCCATGTCATGCTTTGTGCTTCTGAGATTGAGACACCCTAGGCAGAGGCAGCTGTGGGACAGGCTGTGTGCACAGGGTGTGCAAAGTGGAGGCCAGCACGGAGAGGAGCTTGGGCTGGCTCCTTCCTGTTTGCCCTGTGCCCTCTGCATCGCCAGCGGGGACCCTCTCGCCTGGCAGCAGCAGCTCATTGCTGCATCTGTCCTTCCCTTCCTGAAGCAGCGAACTGTACCAGGTCAGCCTAATGTCCTTATTACCTCTTCCCTTCTGGCGTATGCTGTAGGGTAGAAGAGAGGCAGGGAGAGGTGAGAAGTCTGAATTAGGCCCTCAGAGCTGGGCCACTCTGGCTGGCTCTGGATGTCTCAAATGCTGGAGATGGTTGGTATGCAGCTCAGTGGCAGAGCAATGCTTAGCACGCACCAGGCCCCAGGTTCTGTCCCCAACATCCAAAAAAAAGCACTGGAAACCAGAATCAGCTGCCATTCCCAAGTAGGGGTCTTTGCTGGGGCAGTGTGGAGAGGAACAGTGCATATTCAAGAAGGGCATCCCTCTTGATGATACTAATAGAGAGAGCTGGTAAAGATATGTGAGCTGGGTGAGGTGGTGCATGCGTGTAATCCCGGCATCTGGGAGGCTGAAGTAGGAAGCCTGAAAGTTCAACTTCAAGTGTGAGCAACTTAATGACATAGGGAGACCCTGTCTCAAAGTTTAAACAGGGCTAGGGGATATGGCTCAGTACAGAGGCCTTGGGTTCAATCCCCAGTACTGTACCCCTCTTGAGGAAAAAGGAGAAATTGAGTTTGAATTTCCATTTTCCATCCTCAGGCTTCCAGCTTGTCTTCCTACCCTATGCCGATGATAAACGAAATGTGCCTGTCACTGAAAAGGTCATGGCCAACCCAGAGCAGATAGACAAGATGAAAGCCATTGTTCAGAAGCTGCGCTTCAAATACAGGTAAGCATAGGATGGGTCCTGGCTTTCTTTTTTTGGGGGTTCTGGCTCTCTTCTGGAGTGGCCTCCTGAGTTGGGTCTTGTTAGAAACTCAGGTTAGGCCTATACCAAGGGACTGATTGCATTCTTTTCACTTAACTGATATAGTATTCTTTCAGTTGAGAGCTTTTAAAAAGCTGTGTAGAGAACGGAAGCCCTGGTCATATTGAAGATTCTGGGACTGTTGGTAGATTTAGAGTCACAATAGCTGGGTGCATTCATGCACGCCCCTATTCCAAGCACTCTGGGAGGCTGAGGCAAGAGGATCTAAAGTTCTAGTCCAACCTGAGCAACTGAGCAATTTAGCAAGACCCTGTCTTTTTTGTTTGTTTGTTTGTTTTTTTGTTTTTGTATTTTGAGACAGGGTCTCACTATGTAGTTGAGACTGATGTGGAACTCACTATGTAGCCCAGGCTGGTCTCGAATTCACAGTGATCCTCCTGCCTCAGGCATGCGCCACCATGCCCGGCTCTCAAGACCCTGCCTTAAAATAAAAAGGGTTGGGGATATAACTCAGTGAAAAGGCCCTGGGTTCAATCTCTAGTAATGCACACACACACACACACACACACACACACACACACACACACACACACACAAAGATTAGTTGGTTAAACAATTTAAAAGTAGAAGTAACAAGAAAATGACTTAGTTGGCTTCCTCCTTGATTATATGTTGTTGCATAGTGAGTGAAAGTAAGTAGATCTAAAGGAAATTGTTATAGGGTTAAAAAGAGCGATTATATAATTCATAGCATTGCCTCCCACTTACAAGATAGGCCACAGAGTCTGCATAATGTGACACCAGACATAAGTTGTTTTCACATCTGTTTTGGGGGTGATATTGGGAATTGAACCGAGACCCTAGCATTTTTTGGTCTTCTGAGACGGTGTCACTGTGCCAGGCCAGCCTTGAACTCACTATGTCTCCTCGGCTGGCCCTGAACTGACAGCGCTCTTCCTGTCTCAGTCTCCCAAGTGCTGGGATTACAGGTGTGCACCATCACACCCAGCTCAAGTACAGTATTGCTAACTCTAGTTAAAGTGGTGTGTGGGTCACTAGAAGTGAGTCATTTTGCATAAATGAAACTTTATACCCATTGACCAGCGACTCCCCTTGCCTCCAGCCCTGGCAAGTGCCTTTCTCATCTCTGTTTCTCTGAGTTTGACTATTCTCGTGTAAGTGGCAAGTGTGATCTGTCCTTCTGTGCCTGGTTCATTTTGCTTAGTCTCATGTCCTCAGGATTCATCCAGATTGTTGCATGTTGCAGGATTCCAACCCTCTCCCAACCTACTTTTTCCCTTTCTGGTACTGGGGATCAAATCCATGGCCTCCACGCTGAGCTACATCCCTGGTTCTTTTTATTCTTTGAGACAGGGTTTTGCTAAATTGCCCATTGGGCTTGAACTTGTGATCCTCCTGAAATGTCATTTGGAGAAAGGGTCTTGGTGTGTTGGCAGGCTATACTGCTCCCAAGTAGCTGGGATTACAGGCTTATGCTGTTGCACCCAGCAATGCCCTGTTTTCTTTGACACATGAGTTGAAAGACATTTAGGTTGCTCCTATGTCTTGGCCTTTGTGACTAGTGCTGCAATGAAGATAAGAGGGGGTACTGGTACCTCTTTGGTGTTTCAATTTCTTTGGAAGTGAATAGTAGTATTTTTTTTTTTTGGTACCGGGGATTGAACTCGGGTCCTTGCGCTTATAAGGCAGGCCACCAAATCGCTGAGCTAAATCCCCAGCCCTTGAATAGTGGTATTTTAAATTAAATAGTGGAAGCTGGGTATGGTGGTGCAATCCCAGCACCTAGGAGGACAAGGCAGGAGGATTGCCAAGAGTTTGAGGCCAGCCTGGACTGCAGAGTGAGATCAAGGACAGTGTGAATTACATAGGGAGACCTTGTCTCAAAAAAAAAAAAAAAAAAAAAGTAGTGATATTTAAAAGTTTTTAAACCTCTCCTTCTTTTTTGAAATAAAGAATCTCATTGTGTAGCCCAGGCTATCCTCAAAGTTGAGATCCTCCTCTCCCAGGTAGCTAGGATTATAGGTGTGGACCATCATGCTTGGCTTCTGTTTCCTATTTAGCTTTTCCTAGTGGCTGCACCATTTTATATTCCCTTCAAATGTACAGAGGTTCCAGTTTCTTCATGCTTGTTTTTTGGGTGTGTGTGTGTCTGTCTGCTGTGTGTCTGTGTGTGTGTGTGCGCGCACGTGTGTGTGTGTGTGTCTGCTGGGTTTTTTCCTCATTGAGTTTATTAGTACATTTTAGGGATACAGTACAGTTACATTCATTATTGGGATCTTGTATCTTTACATGACAGGTCTTGGTTCTCATTTTTTCCCCTTATCCCTGCCCTCCCTTCACCCTGTCTGCTGGTTTTTGAACACAACCATCCTAACAAGATGTGAGGATATTTTCACGGAGGTTTTGACTTCAATTTCCCTGATGACAGTGACCTTGAACCTTTTCCTTTATACCTCTTGAACTTTTATTAGTATGTCTTTGGTGATATGTCTGTCAAGTCCCTCCCCCTCCTTTTTCACAGACCTGCCGATTGAATACAGGGCATCCCCACTGAGCTAAACCCCAGACCCTTTTTCATTTTGAGACAGTCTTGATAAACCTTCAGTCCTCCTGCCTCAGCCTCCTAGAATGCTGGAATCACAGATATGCACCACCATGCCCAGTTTAGCCCATTGTTTAGTTTTTTTGCTACTGAGCTGTAGAGTTTGTCACGTTCTTTTCTCTTTTTTTTTTTTTGTCCCATTCTTTTCTTTATGTCTAGGTTGCCTTTATCCTTCAAATGTAATCTTCTGGGGACTGGGGATTTTAGCTCAGTGGTTCTGCCGCTTGCCTTTCAAGTGCAAGGACCTGAGTTTGATCCCCAGTACCAAAAAATAAAAACACAAAACAAATGTAATGTCCTAGTTGAGTCCGTTACTAGGCAATTGAGAGCACTAAGCATCTACTGTGTGTCAGCCACTGTCTCCTCCCTTTCTCTCTGCCCGCAGCTTCCAGTGAGGACAACAGGTTTGCTTTGAAATTAATGCTTGGGAGTTCGATCCCCGGTGAAAAAAAAAAAAAAAGAAAAAAAGAAAAGAAATGAACTCTTGTGTCTCAGAGCTGATCAGATGAGGATTTATTTATTTATTTATCATTATTATTTTTGGTACCAGGGATTGAACTCAGGTTCTTGCGCTTGTGAGGCAGGCGATGGAACCACTGAGCTAAATCCCCAGCCCAAGATATAAGGAATTTATTGGAGAGGGACTTGTGATGAGGTTGAGCTTTTTCACTTGGAATGATTTTCTCTGCCAGCCTTGGACCGCTGCTGTCTCAGTTGTTCAGCTGGGTTTGATTTTATTATTTCATCTTTTTTTTTTTCATCTTAAAATGTTTGCCTCTTTATGTTTTAGTTGATTCCCTTTGTTGTCTTTGTTTTAACAGAAGTGACAGCTTTGAGAACCCCGTGCTGCAGCAGCACTTCAGGAACCTGGAGGCCTTAGCCTTGGATTTGATGGAGCCTGAGCAAGCAGTAGATCTGACCTGTAAGAAGGCTGGACCTGGCGAGAAGTGCTTTATTTTTCAGTTTAATTTGTGATTCTTGAGACAAGGTCTTGCAGTATGATCCAGGCTGGCCTTGAATTTAGATGTCACTCTGGCAGTGATCCTCCTACCTCAGCCTCTTGAGTGTTGGGATCACAGGCACATGCAGCACCACGCCTAGCCCTGAGAAGTTCTTTTCATCAAAGGCCTTCCTTCCGATTCACCCTGAGCCAGGAATGTGCATTGCCTAGCCTCTCTAAAGACTTCACTGTCCAGACTGTGTGTCTTTATGGAGACAGTGCCTGGCTCCTAAGCCCCCTGCCTCCGTGGAAGGCCACCACGTGCCTAACACTGATGAATGTTAGATACAGGTACTAGACACTGAGTGCCCGCCATCAGTCAGGCCCTACCGTCCTGTGTGCTCACTCACTGTAGCCTCAGAACTGAGGCAGGAGCTGCTGCTTCCTTGTTTCCCCAGTGTGCAGCCACTGAGCAGTAAGCGACTCAGAGTCCAGTGGTTCCCACTCAGGGCTGCCCTGTGCTTGATCCCTTGCCTTCAGACTCGGCCCCACCATGAGAAAAACCACCTGGTACCCAGCAGAGGCCTCCAGGCTGTGCTGTCTCCCTTGATTGTGACTGTCATACGCACTCACGATGGGACACTGGTCTAGTGGCAAGAGTATAAGTACCTGTGGGGAAGCAGATTGGGTTCAATCAAGAGTCTTCCAGAAGCTGAAAAGTTCAGAACAGTTAGTTTGGCCTGCTCACCCTCCATGAAGGTCCCTTTAATGCTAGTGTTAAAAGCCCAGTGTTACGTGGTTCCAGCTATGTCTGGTGGAAGAGAAACCCTTGAGTTAAGCAGCCCACCTCTGGGTTCTGCATCCATAGACTCAACCAACTGTGGGTCAGAAGTATTACAAATAAGTAGCAGCTCATTGTGGTGGTGCACACCTGTAATTCTAGTGTAGTGGGAGGCAGAGGCAGGAGAATTGAAAGTTAAATCCCAGCCTGGCAGTTTAGCAACCTAGCAAGACCCTTTGTTAACAAAAAAGGGCTGGCTGTAGCTCAGTGCAAAGGCCCTGGGTTCAATCCCTAGCACTAAAAAGAAAAAAACTTACTTCTGTACTAAACATGAAGACTTTTTGAGGGTCTTTATTCCCTGAGCAATACAGTGTAGCAACTACATATTCTTGCGGCATTTCCATTGTATTAGGTATTATGGGTTGTCTAGAAATGATCTAAAGCATACAACAGGTAGTGTGTAGGTTATGTGCAGTTACTGTACTCCCCCACCTGCTGGTACCAGGGATCAAACTCTGGACCCTGAGCTTGTGAGGTAGGTCTAGTGCCACTGAGCTAAATCCCCTGCCCAGTACTGTTCTGCTTTTTGAGGGAGGGACCAGTGATGGAACTCAGAACCTTGCGCTTGCGAAGCAGGCAGTGTGTACTGTTTTAAATAAAGGACTTAAGTATCTAACAATTTATATCTTAGGGGGTCTTGAACCCAGTCCCCACACCCCGAAGGATGGCTAAACTTGGGAATACTAGACCAGTGATGTTGAACCTTTTAGAGTGTTCAGTGATAACAGCCAGCTGCAGCATGCGTGCCATAGGTTCGCCACCGCTGTGCTAGCAGGACTGTTGCGTTTTTGTGCCTTTAGCAGACCCTTTCCCCGCTCCCTCATCCCAGTAGTTTGGGGCTCTCTGCTTCCCACAGAACCAGAACTGGGTGGGTCAGGACACTGGGGTGTGCGTGACTATCTGGCCACTTTCTATGCTTTGCCTTTCTAGTGCCCAAGGTTGAAGCAATGAATAAAAGACTGGGCTCCCTGGTAGATGAATTTAAGGACCTTGTTTACCCACCAGACTACAATCCTGAGGCGAAAGCCACTAAGCGAAAGCAAGGTAAGGAGATGGCTGTGGAACTGTGGCAGGTTCTTTTCAAAGCTGCCTTTGTGTCAGGAGGCTGAAGCAGGATTGCTGTGAGTTCGAGGCCAGCCTGAACTGTGTAGTGAGACCCTGTCGTCCCCCTGCAAAAAGTTGCCTTTATTGTCTTAGAGGATAATGGCCTTTCTGAAATTTCTGTGTGTATTTGCATATGCTAACAGATCTCTCAGTGCAAATGGAATCGTATTTGCATTATTTCAGTCTGCTGTGGTGTTACCCAGCCGTGCCTGTTGGACAGTGATTGGTATACTCTCTCGCACATGACAGCTTTTGCAAGAGCAAGGCTGCAGCTTGCTTTGTCGGCTAGATTTGTCCCAGTCCATTTAACCAGATCTTTTGCGGATGGATGTGTGCAGCGGGCATGTGCAACTGCAGAGGGTGTAGAGCTGCGGGAGAAATTCTTAGTGGAGCTGCTGGGTCAAGGTGTAGACACTGAGAATTCTGATAAGATTAATGCCCCTTCCAAGAAGGGGTGAGCATATTTCCCTATGCTTTCACCAATCCTGGACCTTATGTATTATTTTAAAATACTTCTAAAATACATATACTTCTGTGAAAAGATGTTGTAGGGAAAATTATGTCCTGCTTTGATTTATAATTTCCAGTTACGAGTGAGGTGTATTTTGTTAGATTTTCTTTCTGCCGTGCACTACCTACTGCTGGTGTTAACTGTTTTTTTTTCTAGTGGACTTTTTGCCTCTGAACCTAGAGTTCTCTTTACTGTGACTCGTGTGTGGAGATAGCACCTCGCGCACTGTCACTGTTCTGGAATAGTCTGGCTTTGGCCAAGTAGAGCCCGAATTGGGCCTTGCTTACCTGACTGAGGAGAGGGAAGGTGAGGAGAAGCTGGTGGCCGTGGTGCTCTCTCTTGTGTCAGAGGGACTCCTGTAGTGCCCTGGTAGACGGCGCTGGGGCTCTTCACTCACTGTCCTCAGTTTGGCCTTTCGTGCTTAGCCTTCACATTATCCCTTGGTACCTTGGAACTTAGAGTCTCTGTAAATGTTTTTGCTGTTTTCCTTTTTTTGCAGTGTTGGGCCTTTAACCTAGGGTCATGAACATGGTAAGCAAGCATTCCATCACCGAGGCACACCCGTGGCCCCTAGAAATGTTTTTTTTTGGTTGCTGTGTGGTTTTTTGAAATGGGGTTTCACTGTGTTGTCCAGGCTAGTCTTGAACATGAGCTCAAGTGGTCCTCTCACCTCAGCCTCTTGAGTTACCTTTGCTGTTATTTTATTTTGGTACTGGGGATCGAACTCAGGACCTTGCACTTGCAAGGAAGGCAGCAGAACCACTGAGCTAAATCCCCAGTCCACCTTCGCTGTTTTTGCGTGTGTGTGGTACAGGTATTTAACCCAAGGCTTTTGTGTTCAGCTGCATTCCTAGCCCTATTTTAGTTCTTTTCTTTTGAGATGAGGTTTTGCTAAGATGCTTAAACTGGGCTCAAACTTGTGATCCTATTGGTGTAGTCTCCCAGGGTACTAGGATTACACCATACCCAACTTTTTTTTTCCTTTTTTTTGGTACTGGGGATTGAACTCAGCACTTTGCGCTTGTGAGGTAGGCACAGTGCCACTAAGCTAAATCCCAGGCTCTTTTTATTGGTTTTTGAAGGGGAGAAAGAAGAAAGGAAGAAATGATGTGCTCACCCAGAGTGAGCCACTGTTTTGGGTAACTTGATGGGATTCACACCACTGGTAACCCCTCCTAGGTATGGCATGTTTTTATTTTGTACTTAAATGAAGCTGTCTTTTCAAGACACCCATTTTCCTCAGGTTTTAGGTCAGTATCACAGTGTCATAAAAATGGCTAACTGCAGTCCAGATCATAGGCCCTGACTGTAGCTGGGATACCACTGGTACAGTTTCTGGTCATTCTTTCCTGGCCTCTCTCCCTAGATGGTGAAGGTTCTGGGAGCAAAAGGCCAAATGTGGAGTTGTCTAAAGAGGAGCTGAAGGCCCATGCCACCAAGGGCACGCTGGGCAAGCTCACCGTGCCCTTGCTGAAGGAGGTCTGCAGGTTGTATGGGCTGAAAGTTGGGCTAAAGAAACAGGAGCTGCTGGATGTGCTCACCCAGCACTTGCTGAAGGACTGAGTGCAGCGCACAGCTAGCTGCCTTCAGCTTTCCGCCTTCCTGACCAGGATGAGCTGCCTGCCTCCATTCCTTTCACCAACTTAGCAGCTGTTTCTGCAGAGTTGCCAGGTGCTGTTGGGAGCCAAGGACATGAGGTTTGTGGAACCTCTTGTTACCATGGAGACCACACAGCTCTCCCCTTATGCTGTGCCTTATCTACTTCATGAATAAAGGCCTAACTTCATACTATATAATGGGTTTTTGTTGTTTGTTTGCAGTACTGGGGATTGAATCCAGGGCCATTGTACTTTTTTTTTTTGGTACTGAGGATTGAACTCAGGTCCTTGTGCTTGTGAGGCAGGCGGTGGAACCACTGAGTTAAATCCCCAGCCCTATTGTACATTTTTGAGACAGTCTTGCCAAATTGCCCAGGATAAAGTCAAACTTGCAGTCCTCCTGCCTTGGTCTCCTAGAGTGCTGGGATTATAAGTGTACACCATCACACCCAGTTTAGGCTGGGTAATTCTGATTTAAACTGAACCACAAGGGCTGGGGATTTGGCTCAGTAGTTCCTTCACAAGCACAAGGGCCCGAGTTTGATCCCCGGTACCAATAAGTAAATAAATAAATAAATAAATCGAATCATGTGGTACATTCAAGATACTGGCCAGGTTGCAGTCACCTGAAAGCTTGAGGTACAGAGAAGCTGTCTGTCTATTTTCTGTTATCTTGGGATTTGACGTTTTTGGGGAGGAACTTACAGAGCTAGGATAGACTACACTTTTCTAGCACTAACTCTTAAAATGATTAAAAACTTCCTTGAGAGAATGCCTCCTAAGAAAGCCTCTAACTTCCCCACACCAAGCCATCATAACCTCTGACCTAAGTCATCCCAGGCCCAGGCAAAGAGACCTCTATGATTGGGGGCCCACTCAGTGCTATTGGCTCCTCCCAGTGTCATCACTGTTGCCTGTTAACTGAAACCCCCACAGGTACAAATGAGACAGGCTTGTTCCCACAGCTGAGTAAGTTGGTTGCAGCTGTTGGCTAGAGGCCTCTGGACTGCTACCCGGAAAGCCAGGGATCTGAACAATGAAGGCAGAAGCTAGAATGTCTTTGTTTCTTTTTTTTTAAGAGATGGGATTTTGGCCAGGTGCAGTGGCACACGGGGCTGTAGACCTAGCTAGCTACCAAGGAAGGTAAGGCAGAAAGATCATTAGCATCCAAGCATTTGAGGCCAGCCAGAGCAAGACAGACCTTTTCTCTTCCTTCCTTCTTTTCAAGATGAGGGTTGCACTCTGCTATGCAGGCTGCAGTACAGTGGCTGTTTGCAGGCACAAGCCTACTGCTGATCAGTATATGCAGCTTGATGGTCCCCTGCTCCTGGAAGGTGACTGTATTGTCAAACCTACTCTAGTTTGACAACTATGGTACTCAGTGTTTGCACCTTGGAAGAAAATTTCTCAAGCTGAGGTTATTAAGCACCTCATGGTAACTTGCCTTCAGAAAAATCCCAGTTCAAGAGGCTGGTGAGGGGCAGAGGCTTCAGTCACTAACACCAAACCTATACATACCAAGGGTTACTAGGAACCCTAACTCTCAGCAGTTCTCAGCTTGGGGATTTTGTCCCCAGGAGACATCTGGCAGTGTCTGGAGATACTTGGTTGGGGATGGAAAACAGCCACCTAGTGGACAGAGGGCAAGGATGCTGCTAAACATCCTGAAACATTTTAACATCTGTCACAAAAAACCAGCCCCACATATCCATAGTGCTGAGAAAGCCTCAATGACTGAGTCTGTACAAGACATCTTAGCCAGGTACAATGCCTGTGATCCTAGCAACTCAGTACCTGGGCAACTTTGTAAAACTTTGCCTCAAAATAAATAAAAGGGCCAGGGATGTAGCACCGTGATAAGAGTAAACCTGGGTTCAAGCCTAGTACTAAGAAGGGGACAGGGAAGCAGCAATAACCACTCTAATAATGCTGAACATTTCTTCAAATGTTAGCTGGATACCCACTAAGAATCAGGCATTGCCACACTTTACAATGGAGTATGAAAAGATTTATTAGGATGTTCAAGAGTGATCGACACATTAGGACTCTCCCTATGTAGTGAAGAATACACTTGACCCACTCTGGCAGGAAACAGGTCTGGGCTCCCACAGCTGGTGCAAGTGGCCACTGAGGCAATAAACCCTCATTCACCAGAGATGCTTCCTGGTTGTGCCATCTCTGCCAGTGGTTCCAGCCAGGTCCCTATGACTTCCCCAAACCCTCCACCCCAGCATCACCCAACCTTGCTGCCCTTAACCCTCCTGACTCAAGACCCAGGTCAGCAGGCCCCCTGGTTCGCTCAGCCCATCCCTGTGGTGCAAGTACTGTCGGTGCTCTGCCACCCTTGGGCTAGGGGCAGGGATGGGGCTGGCATATGAACACATCACACTGTCAAAAGTACCCAAGGGCACATCAGTAAGGGGTGCCTAGACATCAGCCTAGGAAAATCATGGCACATAACACGGAATCCCCTGGCAAGCAAAGGCAACTCCTCAACCATGGAACCACATGCAGCTACTCTGCATACCAGACGTGAAGGGCTCAAGTGGCTGGTGTTGGCTCCCATCCTCCCTGCACACAGCGGGGCCACCAGATCTCCATCTTGGTCAGGTCTCTCCTGCCTCTTCCTGTCTTTAAATGGTGCTACCTTTCTGCTTCTCTGTTTTGGGTATTAGTTCATTTTTGAGTGGGGAGGATAAAAGGATGGCAGGGAGGAAGGGGAGATAGGGAAAAACCATCCTGTAAGACAAAAACAATATAAAACCCGGAAACCAGATTTAGACAATATTTTATAACAAAGCTACTAAAAAGACTACATACTAACAGATAATATGATACACGACTTTGGAGGTGGAGTTGCAGGGAGAGCAGGGCAGAGGCCAGAGGCTTAGACCAAGAGCCGTTCAATAGACTGCTGGATGGACTGGATCTGCTGCTTCAGCTGAGAGCCTTCTTTGATGGTGACAGAACAGGCGATGACTGGCCTGGAGACCCCACAGGCCCGCCCCAGCGCCTGCTTGGAGCGCACAAACACGTAGGGCACATTCTTGTCTTCACACAGCAATGGGAGGTGCAGGATGATCTCCAGAGGCTCTGCGTCTGCAGCCATCACAATGAACTCCGAGATGCCCCTGTTGAGGGTCTTGGTGGCTGTGGAGATAAGGACATGAGGCTAACAGGTGACATGGGGCTCAGGCTGTGGAGCCACAACAAAGCAATTTCCCAGGAAAGGAATACAGGTCCAAGAAAATTGGGCAAAGGCCCAAAGCACAAGCAATTCTCTGCCCTGGAGCAGCCCAGGATGAGAAGGGCATCACACACCAAGTAGCCATCTTCAACGCCTCTTCCTCAAATCCTACTACCTCAACCTGACTGCTGCTTTCCTGTGCAAGTCAGCACCATCTCCTGCCTGGCCAACTGTACCAGCCCAACTGCTGAGCTCCGCCAGCACAAAGCAGCCCAATGCACGCTTCACCATCCAAACTGCCTCCTCGGGAAGACCTCACCTGAATATCACCACCCCCTTACTTATTCTGTATAGACTTCTTCCCCACCAGACATATAAATTCTGTCTTCCTTCATTGGCACATAAGTGCCAAGGCAGGGACTTAGGTTTGTTCACTACTGCAATAATAGAGATATGGAAGAGTGAATCAGAAATGGGCAGAGGACTAGGACACTGCTGTCCACCCTAGAAAGCACATTCTGAGCTAAAGCAGGAGGTTGAGCATCTCCATTCAAGGACTTGTCTGTCCCAGCACCTCTGGGCCTAGCCTTGTGCAAGGCACAGAAAGAGGAAGATGGTCCCGCCTCTGAATACTTGTCCCTCGAGAAGTGAGGACTCGTGCCCTGTGCAGCCTGAATGACCTGATGGCACTGAGAAAGGAGACACCCAGGAGGGCTGCCCCCACACCCAGTGCCACTGCTACATCAGGCCCTGCCCTCCTGCAGTGTGGACACAGAACTCTGAAGAGCATGATGACAAATACACAAACTGTTTTATCTTCCTTCAGCAACAGAAGTAAATGATTTTTTAAATGATTTCACCAATCTCAAACAAAGGACAAAATGCCCAACTCTTTAAAGACAAAAACAACTTTTTCATTATAAACTACTTAATGTGAAGAGTCCTCTGCTGGGGAGAGTGGTGCACACCTGTAATCCCAACACTTAGGGAGGCCAAAGTAGGATTACTGCGAGTTTGAGGCCAGCCTGAGCTGCAGTGAGAGCCTGTCTCAAGAACTAAAGCATAAGCCGGGCATAGTGGCGCACGCCTGTAATCCCAGCACTTCAGAGGCTGAGGCAGGAGGATCGCTGTGAGTTGAGACCAGCCTGGACTACACAGTGAGTTCCAGGTCAGTCTCAACTATATAGTGAGACCCTGTCTCAAAAAACAAAACAAATTAAAAAATTCTATATTATCTCTGGGCAGAAATGTCATTGCTTATGTATTCTTTCTTTCTTTAAAAGAACACACAAAAGGAATATTTTTGAGAAGCAAAAAAAAAAAATTTTTTGCAAATCAAATTCTTGAATGTTGAATACTCATGGTATTAGAGATACAAAGTATTAATAATAACCCTTTCTCTTTTTTTTTGGTTTTTTGAGACAGGGTCTCACTATATAGTTCAGACTGCTCTGGAACTCAGTGTAGCCCAGGCTGGTCTCGAACTCACAACAATCCTCCTGCCTCAGCCTCTCAAGTGCTGGGATTACAGGCATGCATCACCACACCCGGCTACCCCTTTCATTTTGATGGCTTTAGAGGACAGTTTATACACAAGGCTGGGGATTTAGTTCAGTGGTGCTGTGTTTGCCTTGGAAGCACCAGGTCCTGAGTTCGATCTCCGGTACAAAAAAAAAAGCCCCCCCCACACAAAAAATGCATATATATTAAGAGATAAAGGTAATTCTGAGTACATTAGCTTTTAGCATAGAATGCCAAAGTATTGCTCTTAAATCCTCCCACTGACCAGTTAAGAATATCCAGGGTGCCGGGCATTGGTGGCTCATGCCTGTAATCCCAGCACTCGGTTGAGGCAAGAGGACTGCCAAGAGTTCAAGGCCAGCCTGAACTATAAAGTGAGACCCTGTCTCACCCCACCCCGACCCCCACCCGCTATCCAGGGAGAGAGACGAGAGAGGGGGAAGAGGGGAAGGAAGACAAAACAAAAACCACCAGCTCTCCCTCCGAACTGAAAATCTGGACTAGAGGTCCCAGACAGAGCTGGTACCCTTGACATACCCCCCCACAGCCCCTGTGGCTGCCTTACCCTCGTTGGCTCCTTTCCGGAGCTGCTTGTAGTTGCACGACTGCTGAACGAGGTCCAGTAGCTTCTTGGTGAGGTGCGCATCTGCGAGGGGATAGGCCTTCGGGTTAACATCAGCCTCAGTCTGGGGCGGGGAGGAAACACAAGCATCCGTCAAGGTGGACCAGAAGCCACTTCCAATGAGTTATAAAATACAACTGGAACTGAGAGACACGGTGGCCAGCTTGCTTCACTACAACCCCACCTCCAAACACGCATACTTTAACACAGCCAGTTCACTCTAAAGCTTAGAGAAACTAAAATATACTAGGAAAGGGAATAAACAGCTACACAGCCTATAAGGTTTGCTAATACATACCTTCATTTGCCCCTCTCTAGCTGGCTGCCTGGTAACAGTACAGTAAATGGGTTATAAATCGGCACCTATGGTTCAGCTTGAATTTCCACGCAGCAGTGATGGCGACCCTTTAGAGCTTTCAGTGATAAACAGCCGGATGTAGCACACAGGTTTGCCATGGCTGCCACAGAGTAATCTTTAATCTGGATTTTCATATCCCCCAAATTTACTGACTCAAAAGTAAGGTGTAATTTACAGTAAATACAACACAAATTCTCCATACTATATGCAATTCGCTTTTAGTCCTTGGTAGGGAATCCTGGTTTCCAACACATGAAAATATTTCCTTTTTGGGCTAGGGATTTAGCTCAGTGGTGCCGTCACCTGCCTCACAAGCGCAATGTCCTGAGTTCAAACCCCAGCACCAATTACTTTCTTATTCTACCGTACAATACAATATACCCAAATGGTTTCTTCCAACAAATTCACCAGTTCAAAATTTTTTCTTCTTAGGATGTAAGCTGCCTCATCAATACAGTGAGTATCATGTGCAAGTTATTCAAATTCATCTTCTCCTGGTAGTAATCAATTTGATACACAATTAAGAGTCTGTATACACAACTGTTCGTGTTTGCTTTTTGGGGGTACTGGGGATCAAACTCAGGACCCTGTGCTTGCCAGGCAGGCGGTGGCACCACTGAGCTACATCCTCAACCCTTCGCATTTGCTTCTTTAAAAAAAAAATCTCCTTTTTTTAAACTGGGCATGGTGGTGCACACCTGTAATGCCCAGTACCCGGGAGTGTTTTAAAAAACTGGTAAAGGGAGCTGGGTGTGGTGGCGCACGCCTGTAATCCCAGAACTCCGGAGTCAGAGGCAGGAGGATCACCTTAAGTTCAAGGCCAGCCTAGTCTACGTAGGGAGACCCTATCTCAAAAAACAAAAAAACTGTTGAAACAAGCATTCATCCTGCCTTTCCCACTACAGGCGGTACTGCCAGGTAACCACACAGTACATCACAAGTTTCTCTTCAATCGTCTTTCCACTTAATAAAACAAACTGCTGCCACTCTGTCCTCTTGACACACCAGTCAGGACCCTGCTCACACTGAGAAAACTGCATCACTACAGCTTTGTATTGTTCTCTCTCCTGTGCTAGGCCTACAGGGAAAGTAACTATGAAATGACCCATCTACCTTTTGTTCTTTGTTTCAGCTTTCTTCAGCCTTTTTCTGCCTATGAAGCCAACCTCTTCTGCACATGCCACCAGAATACTTGTTCTCTTTTGTGGAATAAAGTATTGTCTGATTTTAGAATGGCAAAATGAAAGCCATTCAGATCTTTAAATTGCTGTAATTCTTTTAACAAAAATTTAATTTAGAGAACTGGTGAAAAAATACAAACTCTCTGCATAATACAGAAATACAAATAAAGCCAGGTATGGTGGTGCGTAACTGTAATCCCAGAACTTTGGGAGGCTGAGGCAGGAGGGTCTCAGGTTCCAACCCAGACTGGAAAACTTAGTGAGACAATCTCAAAATAAAAAAAAGGCCCAAGAACATAGCTCAGCAGTCCCTGGGTTCAGTCTCCAGTACTAAGAAAAAGTTTCATTAGGACAGACTCATCAGATTTTGGGGCAAATGCCAGAGTGAGTGCACCACATTGGAGCAAGGCTAATAGGCGTTAATGCAAACATGAAATAACTTAGCTAACCAGACCAATAACCTCATATTAATTGAAATTCCTGGGCCAGGGATTTAACTCAGTGGTGCTGCTGCCTGTCTTGCAAGCTCAAGGTCCTGAGTTTGATCCCCTGTACCCTGCCCCCCCCCGCCAAAAAATTCTTAAGAATAATTAAGCACCTACATACTATATCTCCCTTTAACAATTAAAAAAAATTTTCTTTTTCCTGGTACTGGGAACTGAACCCGGAGCTGTCACACTGAGGTACATCGGTCCCTCTCCCCTTAAGCAAAATATTTATTGGTGTCCCGAGTTTGATCCCTGGTACCCCCCAAATTTACTGATACATTTTAGATATTGGTCCATGATGGTAACACTCAGCATAGGGAATGTGCACCTGTACGTGATATATCCTGCCTCTGTGTTACTACTTCCCCCACCACTCCCTATATGCAAAAGCTTTGTTTCCATTTTTCCTTCTATTTTCACTTTTTTCTTATCCCTTCCTTCCTTTCTCCCTCCCTCATCCCCCCCCCTTTTTTTGGTACCAGGGATCGAACTTGGGTCCTTGTGCTTGTGAGGGAGGCGGTTCTTTTCCTTTTGAACATTTTCTAATATCTATTATACACGTTAGTCCTTATTTCCTCACACCAGAGAAACAATGTGGTATTTAAACATGTGCGCCCAACTTATTTCACTTAAGAGTATGGTCTCAAGGTGTATCCATTTTAGCTGTAACTATTTCAAGCTCATCCTTCTTTCTGGCAGAGTAGTACTCCACAGTATTAAGGAAAAGAAACCCCACATCTTTTTTTTATCCATTCATTGGTTGATGGACCCTTGTATCCCCGTCCCTTTTTAAATTTTGTATTTGAGCCACAGTCTTGCCCAGATTGGTCTCAAACTTGTGACCCTCCTGTGTTGGCCTTCCAGAGTGCTGGGACTAAAGGTTCTACCACAACACTATTACCTTGAATTAAACAGCATTATTACTATAATTTTTCTTATTTTATGTAATTTTTATTTATTTGATTGGTATGGTTTATATACAAAGGACAATAAAATACTTCAGTGGTTAAAAATAAAGCTGTGAGGTGTTTTAATAGAGCAGTTATAAATAAAATGATGTTAAAGTAATCCAGCCAACCAAATGGATGGTCTGGACTGTTTCATTCTTTCTGTCTCACTACCCTTTCTTCCCTAACCATCTCTATTCATTCCTCACTTGTTTTTCCCTCATCTTTTTTTTTTTTGAGACATGGTCTTGTTATATAGCCCAGGCTGGCCTTGAACTCAGACATTCCTCTTGCCTCAGCCTCTTGAGGGCTGGGGTTAAAGGCTTGCCCACCACACCTGGCTTCCTGAGACCTTCTTATAAATATACAAAGTTACATAAATAGGTACATTTATATTATAATCTGGGTGCCCCTAGGTTGCCATCATGTGCACCACTGGTGGTCTGTCCACTATGGTGGCAGCAGGGTTAATCCTAGGTGTGAAGCCTGGACCATGAAATCCATATCCTATTGTGGTTCCCAGTGGGGACAAGTGAGCTACCTGGTAGGAATGGGACACACTCATCATCACATCTACCCTGTGGGTTCCTTGCCCACTACAGTCAAGACACAGAAATGCCTGCCCCTAAAGGTGAAGCAGTGTGAGCTTTGTCAGTGGAAGTGACAGCAAAAATGCACTGGGTGGCTCAGTGGTTCCACTGCCCGTCTTGCAAGCGTAAGGGCCTTAGTTTGAACCCCAGTCCAAAAAAAAAAAAAAAAAATCACACTGGAAAGTCTCAGGTTCTAACACACTACACTAGGTGAACCTGTCACAGATGGAGAAGAACTAGATGAAGCTGGAATTCTCTGAAATAGGGAAGGATCTGGGCATTGTGGCACCTGCTAGTAATCCTAGTGCTTGGTAGGCTGAGGCAGGAGTGCTCCAAGTTCAAGATCAGCCTGGACTACATAGCGAGACCCTTTTTCTCACACACACTCTCTATATAGGCTGGTCTCAAACTCTCTATATCCTCCTGCCTCAGTCCTTGAGTGCTGGGATTACAGGTGTGTGCCATCAGGCCTGGCTTTCTTTACATTCTTTTTTTGAGGGGTGAAGAGGAGATTGGGGAGTGAATTCAGGGCCTTTGCATTAAACTACATCACCACATCCCTTTTATTTTGAGACAGGATTTTTCAAGGTCACGATGTTGCCTAGGCTGTGCTCTAACTTGTGATCCTCCTGCCTCAGTCTCTCAGGGTGCTGATATTGCAGGCATGTGCCACATGACCGGCCCAGTTTATACTCTTAAATATCAGTCAATAACAGTTTTAAAAACCAACAAACTAGTAGCTTATAAACACAAATTAAATCTTTTTTTAGCATATTTGTTCCCATGTTTTAATTTATGCAACATGAGTGAATGAAATCACACTGTTACTCAAATCCCTAGCTTGATCAGTTTTCTTTCCCTGTATACTAAAGAATCGAAAGACAGCCAAAATCCGTAGGGTTGCCAGGCACAGTCATGAATGCAGCACTCAGGAAGCTGAGGCAGGAGGATCATCTTGAGTCTGAGGCCTGCTTGAACTTGTAGTGAAAGCCTGTCTCATAAAAACTGAAAAAAAAAAACCCCAAAACTATAGGGTTTTTTTTTTCTTTGGTACTGGGGATCAAATTCAGGACCATGCACTTGCAAGGCAGGTGACGGCACCACTGAGCTAAATCCCTGGTCCTAAAAACTATAGGGTTTTGATTTAACAAATATACTCACAGGCCAAACCGACTATATTTAGAACAATTGTCCTGTAGGTTACAGCAGAGCTGAAAAATTCCTATGGTCCAATGACCCTGCAGCCATGCATTACATTACTCAAGTGTTTGTGATGATGGTGGTGTAAATAAATCTACTGCACTGCTGGCTGTATACATATAAAAGTATGGCACACAGATGGGGTGCAGCTCAGTGGTAAAGCGCTTGCCTTGCACGTGCAGACCCTGGGTTCAATACCCAGCACAGGCAGGAAGGAGAAAAAAACAATTTTGTACAATAAGTAATACATGGTAAATAAATGACATTAACAGCTATGTGATGTGGTGCACACATGTAATTCCAGCACTCTGAGAGATTCAAGCCCAGCCTGGGCAATTCATAGTGCGACCCTATCTCAAAATAAAGCAGAGAATGTAGCTCAGCGAGAGGCCAGCAACATCCCTTAAACACCTGTGGTTTGCTGCATTTCTTGATTTTGTAGAGGCCGCGACAAGAATGACTGGTGCATTAACATGTAAATGTGCACGCACACTATGATGTTCACACAATCACACAATCTGCTAAACACAATTCTCAGAACTCATAGCTGTCTTTAAGTGATGCACGACTGCACCCTCTGTAGCAAGTATTGGCTCCATTTAACCCACTACCTCCTTTGATCTCTCAACGTCCTCATACAATGTTATCCCCCTATGGCAGAGCTGAAGAAACTGCTGCAAAGTTCCATCTGAGGCGACCAGATTTCAAAGCTTTTAATAACGTTTAAAGCAGCACTGGCTTAGAAACTTCACGTTCTATAGACTGCTCTGTACTAGCTTTGTAGGTGCAAAAGTGAGACCATAATCCAGAAGGGATTCATGATCCATTAGATTAAATCTCACCACAGCTGGGCGTGGTGGCACAGCCCTGTGATCCTAGCACTCTGGGAGGCTGAGGCAGGAACCGCCAGTTTCAGTCCTCCCTGGGCAACTCAGCGAGACCCTGTCTCAAAACTTAAAAAGGGGTGGAGGGCCGGGTATTTAGCTCAGTGGCACTGTGCCTGCCTTGCAATCACAAGGTCCTGAGTTTGATCCCCGGTACCAAAATTAATAAATAATAAAAAGGGGTGCAGATGTAGTTCAGTGTGGAGGCTCTAGGTTCAGTCTCTAGCACCAAAATAACATAAGCCTCGCTATGGAAGTGAACGTGCTTTACAAAATTCCTTATCAAGTGCCAATCCAAATTAGCTACAGCAGGACACACAAAGTGGAACTCTTTCCTGGTTGATCACAAATTGCAGACAACCAAGTGCGGTTCCCACTCCTGGTGCTACCAGGACCTCTGATTTCTGAGACCACTGGCTCGCAGGAGGCTTTTCTGGGCCCCAGCCTGAGTGTCGGGGTCACTCCACACTCATGGCCAGAAACGCAGAAACTTTAAGTCCCTGCCACGTGTTAATTCGCTAAAAGAACTGTGTGTAAACCGATAAAAATCTCTCTCCTGAACCCAGTAACGGGAACAGAGTAGGTAGGTGGGGATGCTCCGAATCCCAGGGTCCCACCCGATCCTGTGAAAATCTCCTAAGTAAAGGAGAAATGGATAGAGCCAGAAGTTTTCCTCCAACTTTCTCCCACGTGGGTTGGTCTTTCTCCCGGCCTGGACCATGCTTTCTCCTCTGCTCACCGGCGACCCACAAGGACGGAAGCCGAGTGCCGTAAAGCAGACCCGACTACAGGCGCCGGGACACTGAAACATCCCCAGTTCTAACCTCGGCCCGCCTGACTGCACCTTACGGCTACCGGACTTCGAACTCGGGCCCGGCGGTGGCACCCAGCGTCCAGTGGTTTAGACGGCGCGCATTCTAAGCCTCCCACAGGACGTCTCCCGTTTCCCACTCCTTCCGCCCGACTCACGCACTCACCATGGCTGCGGCTCCCCGGACTCGTCGCGCCTCAGAAGCGCCCGACGTCAGAGGAATCCGAAGGCAGCACCGAAGAAGAAACGGAAATGGTCGCGAGCGCTGCAGGAAGCGGACGTGACGTCACAACGGGCAGGCGGACTCGCACCCTAGGGAACATTAACGCGGAAGTGGCCTTTTTCTGAGAGGGGTGCTGTACCTTTTCAACAGCCTGTTGCTACAAATTATTGGCTGAAACTATGAGTTAAACAGCCAGAAAGTGGCACACCAAAACACAGGATGTCAATGGCGTCACTGTTCCATTCAATTTTGAGTTTTTTGTTGTTTTTTTGCAGTATTGAGAGATTTAAGTCAGGTGTGCTCTACCCCTGAGCTACATCGCCAGCAACTCCCTCCCCCTTATTTTATAATTTTTTGAGACAAGGTCTTACTAGGCTGCCCAGACGGAACTCAAAAGTTCTGATCCTATTGCCTCATCTTTCCACGGGCATGCACTCCTGCTATTGCACCTGACTTGTATCAGTTCATTCTTTGAGCACATTTCTGTGCTTTCAAAATCATCTTCCTGACTCCACGCTGATGAGGAAAGATAGCTATTGGTAATCCCCAGTTTTTTTCACCACCTTGTCAACATCTCTGGTGGGGAATTCAGTTAGAATCCATTAAGCGGGGAAGAGCAGGTTTGGAGTAGGAAGGTAGGTGTTGAATTACTTACAGATTGTGCTTGGAGACAAAATTAGGACAGCTGCTTTCTTTTGGCCGGCATCCTGCTCTTCTCAGTGCTGCGCCGAATCTCCATTACTTAAGGCTAAACTCATGCTTTGCCACTCCCAAGAGGTCATGGGTTCTTATGTTCTTTCTCATCTCGGATGCCTTACACACCTTGGGATCATTTGGGTTAGGCCAAAATTAACCGTTCAGCCACCAGAACATGGAAACATGCCTGGAGTGTTAATACTTGTTGGGATAAGGAACAACATATGCCATGGGAACTTTGGGCTTCCCAATAAGGTGGTGTTCTGAAGGGCTTACTGAAAGATATAGGTTTATGCTAAGTGCATTTGAGTGGAGCCAAAGAAGTGAGGTTTCCTCTGGATTACATGTTGTCAGGGGCGTGGGCTTTACCACAATTGGGCAATTTAACTTCTGCTTCAAGGTGAGAAAAATGGTGAGAGGCCAAACCTGTAATTGGTAAAGAGTTAGCAGTCACTCATAATGGCCAGGATAAGGGAATGTATGGTCGCTTTTGTGGTTTGAACTGTTCTCATTTTTTGTCTGTATTCAGACTTGGTTAAGGAATATTCTTGTTTTTGTCTTGATTATCACAGAATGGTCTTGTCTGATGGTGGCATTTTGTGAAATTGTTTATTCAACAGAACAACAAGGTCAAGCTTCAAAGTCAGGGAAGCACCTAGCAATGTCATGTCTTGTTGACAAGAGCTGGGACAGTTCCTAGCTGCTATGGGATGCTTTTCTTTTTCTCATGAGCCTTGTATTGCTCATGTAAAGCCCAAACTTTATTTCACACCTCTACTTCTCTAGCTTGGGTCTATGAGAGTAGTGGGTGTAAGATGGACTTCATATTCAACCAGGATACATGATATAGTATTTTTTTTTTTCCTTGAGACTGGGTCTCACTTTGTAGTTCAGGCTGGACTTGAACTCAAGGTGATCATTCTACCTTGGCCTCCTATCTGTTGTTTTTTTTTTTTGTTGTTTTGAGACAGGGTCTCACTATATGGTTGAGACTGACCTGGAACTCACTAAGTAGCCCAGGCTGGTCTCGAACTCAGCGATCCTCCTGCCTCAGCCTCTCAAGTGCTGGAATTACAGGCATGCACCACCACGCCCGGCAACCTTGGCCCTCTTGAGTGCTAGCATGACAGGTGTGTGTCACCATGCCCAGCTGGGTTCTTAAAATAGAGAAATTCTTCCAACTCCTTGGTAAATAGGTGATCCTCCTTCCTGGAACCCCAGAGATCACTTGCAGTCTAGCCACAAAAGGGTTAAGTCTGATTGGATGATGTCGCTGCTTGTTCAGCTACTTTGCACATTTTTTTTTTTTTTAGAAACAGTCTTGCTATGTACTTCAGGCTAGCCTTGGACTCACTATGTAGCCCAGGCTAGCCTTGCTTAGTCTCCCAAGTACTGGGATTACAGGCATGCACCACCACACCTAGTTTACTTTAGACTTTGAATATAACTTTTGGGTGAAAGGCAGTCTTCAGGGTAGCATCTTTTCTCTTACCGACATCAATCCTGGGATGGGGAAAAAAAATCCCCCAACAGGAAATCAGGATACTGTAAGCAGAGGAAGTGATGCCGAGTAGTCATAAAAGAATACATGTATACCAGTGTGTGGTGGTGCATGCCTGTAATCACAGAACTCAGGAGGTTGAGGCAGGAGGATTGTGGCAAGTTCAGGGCTAGCCTGGGCTACATAGTGAGTTCAAAGCCAGCCTGAACTATATAGCAAGAACTTATCTAAAAAAAAAAAAAAAAAAAAAAAAAAAAAAGAAAAGAATACATTCATTCCATACAATGTTCATTAAATGTTTGATAACTAACAGACTGAAGGACAAATAGATAAAAATATGATAGAAAGAAAGAAATCAAGCACACTGTAGGTTATAGAACCCCATCATACATAGAGGATACTTAGTCCCTTTATTCCAAAGGACAGGGATATTTAAAACAGATTTTTACTTCTCTTAACTCCTTTTGGACCCTTCCCCAACACCATCCTTGCCTGCATAGAGGGCTGCTGGCCGGGATCAGTGCCTGGAGCTGCCACTGGGCCATGAGGCTCCTTTGTGAGGTAGCCTCAGTGACAGAGGTAATGTGGAACAGGGCCGCACTGCCCCAAGCTGGCTGAGTCAGCCACACCAGTCCTGCCCTCCAACTCTGTAACACCACCCGTCTGACCTAAGCTTTGCCAAGGTGCTGCCACTGCTGGGCGCCTGTGCTGTGGTGGGGCCATTCTGGGGCTCTGAGTGGGAGCCGGTGCGGGGGTTGCTGCCCCAGGACTGCAGCTGCAGGGATCCCCGGTGCTGTGGCAACCTACTTGTCCTCTGCCTCTTTTTAATCTGGCAGGTCCAGCACTTCTGGTACCAAGTCACAAGGATCTGTTCCAGTAAGAAGAATGTCAGCAAGGTGAGTGGGCTCTTCATACTTCCTTCCATCAGCTGCATGATTGTCCCCATCACATGCCATAAGGGCCCTGTCCTGTGCTGTGTGAACCCACAAATGAACTGAAGAGTAGCTCAGGCCCCACCACCCAGACCCCAAACCTAGGAGTCACTTGGATTGCTCTGTTTCCATCACTGACAAATGCAATTCCTCTGCAAGTCCTATGGGCTCTACTTGCAGATCACACTTCACATCTGATCACTTTCCGAAACCTCACCACACCACCCTAGGCAGAGCTGGCAACACAGCCTCAGTGACTCTCTCCCTCCTTCCCTCCCTCCCTCCCTCTCCCTCCCTCTCTCCCTCTCCCTCTCCC